CCTGAGCCAGAGATGGGGTGGTGGTAGGGACTGGCCATGGACCAGAAGGGAAAAACAAATATGATGGAATACATGCACACACACATACACACATGGGCACACACACACACACCAGTTCTTTTTTTTTTCACAATTTCAAATTTTATTTATTTTTTTCTGCCTTTTATTTATTTATTTTTACATTTTTCCACAAACATTTACTTTACATATCAAAAAATTTTAGCTCATACTCCATATTTCTTGACAGTTTACAAACAACTTTCAAAATTTCAAAATACTGTATTTTAAAGATGGTATATATTAAGTGGGGACATACAATGCCTCTCCTTCATAGCATGGCTTGCTTCCCTCAGCAGTAAGTCTTCCATATTCATCCACTTCCTGTCAAAAGCTAGGTTTTTGTTGTTTTTTATGGATGAATAGTATTTCATTGAGTATATGTGCCACAGTTTTTCTAACCATTCATCAGTTCGTGGGCATTTAGATTGTTTCCATGACTTAGCAATTGTAAAAAGTGCCGCAATAAACATCGATGTGCAAGCACTTTTCCGATTAAGTATTCTTCTGTCCTTTGGGTAGATACCAAGGAGTGGGATTGCTGGATCATATGGTAGTTCTATTTGTAGATTTTTGAGGAATCTCCAAATTGTTTTCCACAGTGGTTGGACCAATTTACAATCCCACCAGCAGTGTAAGAGAGTTCCCTTTTCACCACACCCCCGCCAGCACTTATCATTTCTTGTTTTTTTTAATCTTAGACATTCTGGCTGGGGTTAGGTGATATCTCATTGTTGTTTTGATCTGCATTTCTCTTACAATGAGGGATGTTGAGCATTTTTTCATATGCCTTTTAGCTATTTGTATGTCATCTTTAGAGAGTGGTTTTTTCAACTCATTCTCCCATCTTTTAATAGGATTGATTGTCTTTTTCTGGAACAGCTGCTTGAGTTTCTTGTGAATTCTGATTATCAGTCCCTTGTCTGATGCATAGTTTACAAAAATATTTTCCCATTCTGAGGGCTGTCTATTCACACTAATCACTGTGACCAGTTCATTTTTAAAATGGTATCCCACCACACTGAAAATTTCACTAAGCAATATCTTTTATCCTATGAAGTCCTCTGAAGCTGTAGCTTATCAAGCCCTTTTTAGCTTTTTTCCGTATGAGAGAGGGAGAGGGAAAGGGAGAGGCAGGGTGGGTGTCTGTGACTGGGTCCCACTGTGTGGCAATCCTCCTGCCCAGGCGTCCCAATTAGCTAGGTTACAGGCGCGTGCAAGCACATGCGCCATGTTCAGGTTAGCCCAGGAACTGAACCTGTGCCTCCCAAGCAGAGACCTACCTGTTCCCCACTGTAGCTGAGCCAACTAAACTCGTTTTTGCAACATAGAGAGCAACCTCAGAGAAGCAAAGACACTTGCCTGAAGCTGCACAGCTGGAAAGTGGCAGAGGGTGGACTTGAACTCAAGGCTTCCTAACTTGAGAGCCTATCTTTCTGCTCAGAATGGTGAACATTTTGATGTACGCTGTATGCACCTAGTCTCCTTCCAAGTGCTCTTATCTGTACTGTCTTCTTTTGTCTCCACCACACACTCATAAGGGCTCTTCCTTTATTATCCCCATTTATACTTGAGGAAGCTGAAGACTGAGAGAACAGGTCACTTGCCTAGGTCACCCAGGAGGAGGTAGAAGAGTTGGTCTTTGAGCCCAGGCCACCACCTTGAAACCAGTGTAATAACCACCACATTCTCCTGCCTCCCTCCAGCTAACACCAGGACACACGCCTCCTCTAACAACATCAAGTGCCCCAGAGAGGCCAGGAGGCTGTCCGCCCAAAGCAGTCACTGTGACTTCTGCAAGGCCAGGTGGGGAAGACCTGGTGGCAGTGGGCTGGGAAACACAGGGGAAAGGAATACACATGAAGCAGCCTGACAACAAAGGAAAGGAACAGGGAGGGGAGGAGTTGGAGTGGTGGAGATGGGGGTAGTGAGCAGGTTCAAAGTTAGACAGAAATTACTGTGGCAGGACCAGAGTGAAGGTAGGAAATGGGAGGTTCCTGACAGACAAGGCCCACAGCAGGGGTGGGAGGGTGAAGGCAAGACCACACTGAGCCCCTGGTGGCAGCGCTGAAGGGGCCTTGAAGGTCATACCTGGGAGCCTTCTTGTCTGGGAAGTCCGGGTCCTGGCTGAAGCACGGGGTACTCTCGAAGGGTGTGGAGTGACCGAGGTGAGGTTAATAAAGGGGTCCTCACACAGGACGTGGGGGTTAGAGAAACCCCCAGCAATGTCCTGTGGAATATAGGGTTACCTCTGGGTGCTGAGCTTTGTCCACTCCTCTTATTAAAGTGAAATTATAGGGCTGGCTCTGTAGCACAGCGATTAAGCACTATACATTGGGAAGCGGATCCTGTGTGGCTGACTGCTGTTCAAATCCCGGCCCCGGTGGTTTGAAAAGCACACTGGGCTCCTGAGCCTGGGTGACCCAAATTCTGACAGTACAGAGAGATGGAAAAAAAGGATTATGGCATGACCATGCCCCATTAGGGCATGCTTCCTCCCTCCTCTCTCTTCCTTGCTGGCATATGCACAAACCTGCTAGCTATTTAAAAAATAAAAGTCTTCAAAGTGTAATTACAGAAGAGCTTCTGTTCCCACCACCAAGTCATAGACACGCTGGCTGGGACCCTTTTCTCTTGGAGAAATGCTTCACTACACCCACTATTGAAAAGTAAATCATCTTCCCTTAGATAAATTCTGAGTAGTTTCTAGAAAACAATAGAGTAACTGTTTGCAAGGGAAACCTCTATTGTATATCAAGGTTTTAAAAAGATAGTTATAAGACTCTATAGTGTGGTATGATTTTGTTTAGATAATTTTTTAAAGACTATAAACATAGGGACCGGCAGGTGGCATGGTGGTTAAGGGCACTGGACTCCCCCATGGTCAACCACGGTTCGAGCTCTAGACCTGATGGCTCACTTTCTCTCTCTCTCTCTCTCTCTCTCTCTCTTTCTCTCTCTCTCTCTCTTTCACTCTGGTCAAATTAAAATAAATAAATTAAATTAAATTAAATTTGTATTTAAAGAAAAGAGTATAAGCACAGATGGGGCCAGCAGGAGGTGTGGTGGTTAGGGTGCTAGACTCCCACATGGCCGACTGCAGTTTGAGTCCCAGACCTGGTGGTATGTTCTCTCATTTTCCTTTTCTCTCTCTCTCTGGTAGGTGCATGTGCCCTGTAGCAAATTTTAAAATAATAATAAATTAAAACTTAAGTAATTAGTAATTCCTTTTTTAAAAAAATATGCATAGGGACAAAAAAGTATATGAACCATAATGTTAACAGTGGCTGCCTCTGGGGGATGGGTTTCTATGTGATTTTAATGACTTCCTTAGTGTTCTCTATTTCTTACTTCCTACACTATTAAGAACATGTCATTTTAGGACCAGAGGTGGCATGTTGGGTGAAATGATGGACTCCCACATGGCCAAGCACAGTTCAAGTCCTGGACCTGGTTAATAAATAATTCTAGAAAATAAATAATAAATAAAATTAAATAAATAATAAATAAAATTAAATAAATAAAATTAAATAAATAATTCCTTTAAAAAAAAAAAAAGGTCTGAATGACTCAAGGTCCCCTACTTTTCCTTCTCCATTAGGACACTGCATTTATTATTTAAATTGTCATGGTATAAAATTCACACTCTAATCTACACCTGGGTATTTTCCATCAGACTTCAGTCACATTCTGTTAGTTCCAATTTTATTTTCTGTTTTTGGCCTGGGAGGGGTGGAGAGAATCTGCCACTCACTGATCTTGGCTTCTGAGACACCACCAGAGATGGTGTTCGCACTGACATGC